CCACTGCAGGGCAGGGAAGAGAGTGTACTCCCTTTCCAGGCACAGGGATCAGGAAGTGCAGGGATGAGGCCTCTTGCCTGGCCCACATCTCCTAACATTCCAGTATGAGGGAGCAGGGATGTACTGCTTCTCCTTCAAGGGAACTCTGGCTTCTCCCTCCCAAAGGCAGCCCTTCACATCACTTCTCCCCAATATATTGTTTGGGCCAAGACCACAGAGATGTGTCACCCTCGAACTTTTCGGTTTGCTGCAGCTATCTCTGAAGCCAAAGACAAATTTCTAAACAAAGAGAAGGTGGTCTCCAGCTGCAGGGCCAGGGCCCCACAGCCAGGGAAGGCCAATGTGGGGTGGCTCAGGCCTGGCATCACTTTCCAGGAAGGCTCACTGGCTCCTCGGCCACGGTGCCGAGCTGTGCCAAGCTGCTCCAGCAGCTGCCGTGGCCGTTCAGCAGCTGTTGAGTTGTAATTGCTCATTGAGTCATAATTTATTTTTTTTTCCCAGTGAAAGCGGCACTGTCAGGGAATTAAAATCTTTTCAAAAGCCCATAAAGATTTCATAAACGTTTCAGAGCCAGACTGGGGGGGCTTTTAGCGCCTTCACAGCCAGGAGCCAGGGCTGGCAATGGGGAGACCAGCAGCAGAAGCCATAACCGGTTAAAGGAACAACAGCACCAGCCCCTGGGGAGCAGAGTGAGGCTTCACTCCCCCTGCCCACACCCAACACAGGCAGGACTGGTCCCCAGTCCATAGCCTGGGTGCAAGTGCCCTGGTCAGCTACAGGTTGTTCACCTTGAATCCCATGACATGCTGCTGATGCAGGTTGTGGGACGCTGGGATGTAGCACAGCAGCTCCTCCAGACTCCAGGAGAGCAAAAAGCTGACACAGGGCAAATACAGCTGCACCAGCCCCTGTAATAGCAGAGCCTTGGCTCTCACCTGTGCCTCGTCAGCCCAATTAGCAGGTGACCCCGCTCCAGCCACTGTGAATATTGGCCCAGCACAGGTGAGGGGCAACAGCCCTGCAAACACCCACGTTTGGATTCAGAGGAGCCCACGGTGTCCTCGGAGGCAGAGGTTTTCACTCTGTAAGAGCTGCTGTAGACATGGAATGAGCTTTCCCACCGATACAGTCCTTTCCACACGAGCAGGTGTCTGCAGGTGACGGAGGCACTGCGCTCCCGCCGGCAGCCCCCGCACCGTCCCAGCACCTGCTATTTTTAGTGTGAACGTGGAGCCACCTTTGATCGTCCCTCTCTGAGCTCTGTGAAATATCCGGGCCAGGCACACGCAGCCTCCGCAGCCCCATTCCTCCGGAACGTGCTTCCCTGGGAAGAGCTCTGGAACACTGGAGGAATCCAGCCTCTGCGGCGGCAGGGACCCACGTGCCTTGGGGGATTAAATAGGGAGCAGCCCTGACAGACCAGAACTGTGGTTTGCACCCCAGGATCTGCACAGCCACACCCCCGACACCAGCACCCTGCAGCCGTGGGTGCCACTGGCATGATGGGCCCCCTTCTTTAATCGGGGCACAGGAATGAGAGCACGAACAGGTCAGAGCTGGGTTGAGCACCCATTTGGGCACCTACCAGCACAGGAAACCCCCCAGTGGGTGAAGAGGGACCCCCAGCACCAGCTCCTGGAACCTGCCAGCCCTGGCACCGCTCACTGGTATTGGGTATCTCTTCGAGAGGCACCTCAGTGACAGAGGCACCAATAACTCATCGTTAGGGGAGAGGCTGCTGTTATTTTATGGCCGTCGTTATTTCCTTCCTATTGTAACTTTTAATTAAAATCTATGGGAGGCAAATAACTGCTCCCTCTGCATAATTGCAGGGAGTAAATTTTATTATATAGAAAAGAGGTTTTAATTTTTAATAGACTTATTTTTAAGTAAGAGCAACACTTCGAAGGGATCTGTGAGCCCTGGTAACGTTATCAAAGGCAAGAAGAGGAACAAAGACGGGTTTATTACGTGTTCCCCATAAAACTGTTATTTTAGGGGAGTTTTGTGCTTCCTCCTAATGAGAGATGAATTGCACTGACTTCGTTTGCTGTAGGAGGAAAATTAAAATGAAACTGATAAGAGGCCCAGCCTCTAGCTGCTGACTTACCTCCCAATTATAAATGAAAGCTCACAGGCATTCCAGAGACGGGGCTTGATGTCTACATTAATTATAAATAAATTATCTACACTTAATGTTTAAATGAAATTCCAGATAAAGCTTTATATTTAGAAAAGCGTTGCATCAGTGCATAAATATTTATGCAAGGGGTCTGGGTGAACTGCGGCTGCTTGGGCATGACGTGGGAGCGGAGTCAGAGCGGGCAGCCCCAGTTGGGTGCCCAGGGGAGCAGCACTGAGCCTACCAGAGCCAGGAGGGGAGTGGGACAGTCGGGTCCCAGACCTGACACATCACTGCTGTCTAGAGAGGGGAGGTGATGGGACCCATTGTCAGCCTGACATCGGCCACGTGCAGAGCAGCAGCACTCGCTGCCTGTGGCCAGGGTGGCCAGTGACAGGGGGCGTCCCACACTCCTGCATCTTTTTCCAGCCTCCAAGACTCTGTGGCCCTGTGCCACGGGACCCCTGAGACAGGCAGTGCTGAAGCCAGGGCAGCAAGGTCTTTAATGCAGCCAAGGTCGAAGAGGAGAAATCTGACAGGCCCCAGCTCAAAGCTGTGTGGGAAAACAAGAGAGTAAATAAAATTGATTGAAATTGTTCAGCCCCAGTCACCTGTGTGGGAGTTCAGCCGAAGTCCAGAGAGGATCCAGCATCCTGAGCAGCCACTGCCAAGGTGGGACAACATCCCAGCCAGGGCAGGGCATCCTAGCCAGGGCAGGGCATCCTGGCCAGGGCAGAGCATCCCTGCCAGGGGGAGCATCCTGGCCAGGTGCACACATGACCCATCAGCGAGGGCCAGGCAGGCAGAGCTGGGCGCAGTTGGCCCAGAAGTTGCAGCAGGGTCACCTTTGGTATCGCAGTGCTGCACAGTCCTCATTCTGCAACAGGAGCAGTATCTCATTTCTTCCTCAATTAGCTCCTGATTATCAGTGTCCCAGGGCCCCTTTCCAGTCTCTGTTTAATGCACCATTAATAATTCATTTCTCAGATAGCAAGAACGCAGCGCGAGGTTAGGGCTTTGTGACTAATAAGTACCAGAGCAACCCTCTTCTCCAAGGGACAAATGAAGGGAACAAAAATAAAGTGGAAGAATCAAAGATAATATGTTTTGTGACCTCTAATCAAACACTGGATAAAGGGTTTGATTACTCAGGTGAAGAACACACACACACACTCCTCCTCGGTGGCCTCAGGCTTCTGGGCTCCCACGCCTTACCAGCACCATCCCCGTCCGACTGCCTTCCCTGACACAGAGGGAAACTGAGGCATCTCCAGGCAAAACTGCGGCTGGCCCACACTGCCCTCCTCCCAGGGTTGGGGATTTAGGTGGCTGTATCTTTCCCCAAGCTGGAAAATCCCAGGACCAGATTTCCTGGTGCCCGGCAGAGCCAGCGCAGCCGCCGAGGAGCCGCACGCGCTCTGGCAGCTGCACATTAAGTGTGACGGGTTTCTGACAGATCCAATTATAAAGCCAGGTCTCAGCAGAATTGCAGCCCTGAGATCTAGTGCATGAAATTTTGTTTGGGAATTTTCGGATATTGCAGCTTGTGCCACGGGTCCCCACAGGCCCCAGACTGTGCCAGCACCTGCCAGCTACCCCTGGGTCTCATCCCCACCGTGCTGAATCCCCTCCCTGCTGCATCCTGCCAATGCCCAGCCCGAACAGAGTCACCCAAAAATGGCAAGGAGGAGAGTGGCTGCCCCCAGAAGTGCTGAGGAAGGGAGGATCTGCAGCCCCCTCTCTTCTGCCCCACAGAGAGGTGCCCTTTGCCCTGGGATTGACCCTGCCCTTGCACAGCCACTTGGACCATGCACAGGCTACAGGCTATAAATCACTCACCTCCCAGTAGCTGAGGATCTGCCCAGTCCTTTCCGCACAGTCCTCAGGACGTTATTTTTAGCCCTTTCCTAGAAAAACGAGGTGGGCACACGTGGTGGTCCTGTCCTTGGCTGACCAGGGACTTGGCTGCCCTGGGAATACTCCTCGGAGGAAAGTGGCCAAGAAACCTCCAGGGACCAAGAGACCTGAGCCAGTGAGGACACAGGGATGTGAGTCCAGAGCTCTCGTGGTGCTTTGGTCCTAAGAGACATTGAGTCTCTGTGCCAGGCATAGGGCTGCCCTGCCCCAGCCAGAGCTGCACAAGCTCATTCCATCAAAACCCCTGGATTAGGGGGTTTGTTTTATTTTCCTTAGGTGGCTGAGAGTGCAGTGTTGTGCCCCGGTGCTGACAGGGGACCTTGGGGTTGCAGATGGGCAGGAAGCTTGGGATGAACGCTGGCAGCCTGCAGCACCACCACCATCGGATCAGAGATGCATCACTGGCCCCTGGCTTGGGAACCTGGAAGCTGTTGGGAAAACAGATTTGCTTTTACACCCTTGAGGCTGTTCCATCCTCTGCCATCTGCAGCTGAGCCCAGACTGGCAGGAGGAGCCAGGAGGACAGTGCTGGGGTGGCTCAGTGGCTCAGGGAGGCTGGGATTCTCCCCAGTCCCAGCTTTTGTGCCCTCCTGTGGGCACCCAATGAATGGCTGCAGACCCCAACCCCAAGCCCATATGGCCCCTGTGCCCTGGCACCTCACAGTTGGGCAGTGGGCAGGTGGGATCCCCCCAGGCACAGGCTGCAGTGGGTACCTGAGTGTCATGCAGCAGGGAAACCTCCCCAAGCCCCCTGGACCAAGCAGCCCCCAGTCTCAGCATCCTCATCCCTGTGCCCCCGCAGTGCCCTGGGCACGTGCCTCGCTGTGCCATCAGTTCATCTGGCATCACCCGCCACATGCCAGGGAGCTGTTTTAACCTAAGCAGAATAAACCTGCAGTGATTGTATTTCCTGCCTCCCTCTCGGGGCACGAGGGAAATTGTTTGATGCTAATCCCCTTGTTTAATCCACCAGCATCCTGACATGCGAACAGTCAGGATTAGCTCCCGGCGGGAATCGTTCCACTTGCGGCCGTCGGAGCAGGACAGGGATGTCCCCACACAGGCTCCGATGTGCTCCTGGTGACAGAGGACAGGGGATGCAGGAACAGTGCAGGGAGAGGGCTTCTGGTTTTCAGGATCAAATTCCTCCACCACAAGCACTTTTCACCAGACTGGAATTTCTCCTGGTACAGAGAGGGAGGCTCCAGCTGTCCTGGGAAAGGTCACCTCAGGGGCTGATGTGCTCCCAGGCTCAGGGACAGATATTGTGTGATAGCCAGATTTTCAGATGTGCCTGGGAAGCAAAATTCAGTCCCCATCCCCCTCACCCATAACGCCACCAGGCTCACCCTGCTGCTGCCTAGGCCAGAGCCATGGAGCAGGATGGAGCCTCCTCCAGGGCAGGGCTCCCAGCCTCGGGCATTGCTTTGATAAACGTGCCTGGGATCCTGCTCTGGCTGCTCTGCGCCCTCCTTGATGCAGACCTGCCCTGGATTTCGAATTTCAATTTGTCTGACTTTATCTTCCAGCCTCAGTTCTCATTATTCCTCTCTCTGCCAGGTTAAAGAGTCCTTTAATACCCAGCGGTTTTCTGCCCAGGAAGGTACTTGCACGCTGTAATCAAGTCACATCTCAGGCTCCTTCCCGATAAGTCAAACAGGCTGAGCTCTGAGTCCCACTAAATACCAGGCTCTGGAAAGAGCTGACCAGAGGCACTGCCAGGTGGAGGAGCCTGAGGTTTTCGAGCTGGTGCCTTGAGAGGGGAATCGGTGCCTTCTGACGCACTGATGACAAATGAAATGAGCTGTGAAAAATAAATCGCTGCATTGCCCTGACTCCGTGAGCACATCTGGCCGCCGGGGGCACAGGGAGGTGCTGGGGGGCAGAAGGCCAGGGGGGCTCCCGGGGCTGTGCCCATCCTGGCAGCCTGCAGACCAGGGGAGAACCCCTTCACAGTGCTTCTGCCAGCAGAGCTTGCTGCAGCAGCTGTTTGCTGCGGGGCTAATGGTGCCCATCTCTGCTTACGGGCAGTGAGTTATGACGGCCGTAACGTAAGTGCTTCGGGCAGCTTGAGATAAGCCAAGGTGCTACAAGCCACAGACTTCTTCCAGCCTGGGGAGGTAGGCTCTGAAGGATGCTGGCCTTGAAGGATGCTGGCTCAGAAGGATGCAGGCTCTGAAGGATGCCAGCCCTGAAGGACACTGGTCAAGGTCGCAGCACCGATCGCTGCAGCTCGGCTGCTCCCTGCTGCCAGGCCCAAGGTGACTGAGCCCCTGGGAAGGAGAAGCCAGATGGGGCTGGAATTAAAGCAGGGACACAGAGGGAAGAACAAGCAGAGGGTGGATACAGGCCCACCCTCAAAACCCACAGAGTCCCACAGAGCAGTGCTGTCCTGCCTCTGTATTTTATGGGGTCAGCTGCACCCCCTCAAAAAGGGGCAAGTTTGGATCAATGTTGCAGAAACTCTGTTTTGGGACACCCAAGTGGACAGCCAGATCCATCAAGGCTGGGGAGAGGTTGCACCACCCACTGCTGCAGGCACACACTGGGGTAACTCACAGCCTGGATTCTCCAAGCACAAATCAGGGCAATTTGAGCTGAGCAAAACGATCTGAGGTCCCTGAGGGAGGGATCTTGCCTGGGGAGCGGGAGGAGAGGCCATCCCATCCCACAGAGAGCTACAAATAACTCAAATGCCCTCATTACCCAGTTTCTGGTGAACAGGAGTTCGGTTTCGTGGTTCCCCCGGGGCTAGTTCCACCTGAAAACGGGCTACGAGTGCCTGACACCGGGGGAGCCTCTGGCACCAAAGTCAGGCAGGAGCAGGACACTGGTCCCTGCACGTGTCCTTGCCCTTCTGCC